CCAAATACTGTACAATAAAAATATGATATATTGTAAATTATCAATTTGAAAACCGAGCTGTACCCTGCCCCCCTGCTTGTTGTACCCTACAGCTGTGTGGCAAAGTCGACACCTTAACTCCATCAGCCGTAAGTAATTAAAGGCGATTAAGGAATAACTGTTTCCAAGTGGTAGGTACTCAGGCTCTCTCTTCAATTAAAAGGTAAATTGCAAGATTTGTTGTTTCTTTTTTAATTTTGTAATATTTGAAATAATTTTCACTGATTGTAATCATAATTTACATCTAATTACTACACCAAGTGATAGCAAGCACAGTAAAATCGCCAACCAATAATTACCAATGCCTAGCTTTACACAACAACAACAACAAAAATATTTACCTACAGAGAGTTGGGTAATATTAAGTAAGAAAGCTACAAGCTACACAAATTGGTCCAAAGTGAACTAGTTCATGAATATTACAGTAGTCCATTTATGCAATTGTTTACAGTTATGGCTGAATACAAATGCAGAGAACAGTCAATTAAATATATTTGGCTAGGAAAAAATGGCAAGAAATTGCACGTAGAAAGGCGAACATGTAGAATATGAAAAACACAGAAAAAACAGTAATTAATACGACCACCGAATTGCGGCAGTAAAAATTGACAATAAAATTGATATCTGTGAGAGAGGGACTAAGTTGATCGATAGGGCCTATCTTAATTTACACTTATTAAAGATAAACAAATATTAAAATGGAATAGGGCAAAGGCAACCAGTGAGTTCCAAACTGGTAATTACAAAGGTATGCATCTAGGTAGTAGTGCTAGACTACTGATCACAGATTTCTTAATTCTCAGACAAGAAAATACTATGACACTCATAGAAACATTGTTTAAGAGCAAATGACTATCAATATAATAATATTAACTGCATCCCACAGTAACTATTTCTGCTTGTATCACCATAGTCAGAACATCCTAAATGAGCAAGTATTTACACTCTTTGTAAAAGCCTAAGCAGTCGTTGAAAAAAAAAAAAAAAAAAGAAAGAGAGAACTGCTCTAACCCTCAAGGAAAAGCTATAGGTTCAGGAACAAGGATATACCACCAGAGTATCAGCATGATATTCTAGATGTGCCTAAAACAGACAGCAATAATTATATAATTGAAGAAACATAGATCACAGACTCACAGTATTTACATAGAATACAAATTCACTTGTAGAAGCTACTCCTTATTGATACATAGCCAATTTATGTTGACAACTGAGCAAATGACAAATAAAAATAAAGACATGATAAGAGTCGATAAGGATCTCTTGGATAAGCATTGACAAATCAAAAGAGATAAACGTTGTAGAAACTTCATCACACAGTGTTGGTGATATGCTGAAAAATATCAACAGGAATATCCAAAATAAATGGCAAAAAATACATAACAATGACCCAATAATATATGGCTAGACATTAAAAATATAATACACAGGAAAAACCTTTTGACTAGCTAAAGCATGACATCAAACCTGAAAATAATTCCTTCCATAGCTGCCCTGTTTCACATATTTCTATCGCTTTTATAAGAGTATTTCAGTATATGAGTATAAACATTAAATATTTAAGTAAGACATATGCACCAAATTGTAGATATAATAGTGAATAAAAAGTAGGACGACGCCTGTCAAATAGCATTTGCGACACTTCACTGTTTACGCTCTCGTTCGGCACGCTCGTTGCGGTCTGCACGAAGTTCGCGCGAAGGTAGCAGATGAAGTTGATTTGGGGAAACAGCAGTCACCATCCTGAGAAGAAGAACTGCAAGAACTTTGTCTAGCGGATCCATGAATCCACGCTGAACCCATTTGGGTATTGTTGTTCTGGCGTGTGAAAAGCCTAACTTTTGAAGTATGTAATCAACTCCATAGGGCTCAATACTTTTCCCAGCCCAAGATAAAAGTCTGAAATTGAAAAAGATAAAAATTAAGCCAAAGCACAAAGCAAGTTATCCCTTTTCAAGTTTTTTTTTTGTTTTTTTTTTTTTTAAATAAATTTTTAAATTACCTGACTGTGGGCTCAAGATGCCAAGTGGTACAGTGGTAGTTACGCCAATCTTTAGTAAAGACATCAGCAGGGTCAAATCCTTTGCGTTTAGGCTCAGTATCTGACGAAGAGGTACTATTGTTGCCATTGCTGTTGGTATTCCCACTTGGTGACATTTGGGAGTCCTTAGGTCTCTTCTCTGGGTCTGGACTACTTGCTCGGTAACCACTCTGAGCTTGAATGACCTGGTTGCAAATATTCTGGTGTTAGATTGTCAATAAAATATTGGGTATTGGCATTAAAGGCACATTACATTACATACCACTCTTTCCTTTTCTTTAACATATGAGGTAATGAGGTCATGTAAGAAAAAGAAAGCTTCAGCATCCACAGTGACAAATATATGGTCTTCAAATTCAGTGATAAAGCTGCACTCAACAACTGGCTTCCGGTCTAAAAAAAGCAAAAAAGGAATGGTAAAATTAGCAAGTGCATTGCCTATTTAAAATAAGGATATTATAAGAAATTTCAAAAACAAGTCGCATATTCTACAAGAAAACTTTACCTATGTTGTCTGGAGTCCTTGCTGCCTGTAGATGTTCTGTTTTGATGTGCAGTTGGAGTGATGGCAGGGCAAAAATCACTTCACGTGTGTGATTAAGGTCTTGTGGCTTGGTTGTAGGGCGAGTACCTCGGCTTGGGTCAGTGTTGGTTGATTCAGTTCGCTCTCGTTCTAAACTTGGAAATTGGTCCACAGCTGTCAAAAAAATTGGAGAGGATAAGAATACAAGTACAATACAAATTAACAAAGAGGGAATTTCTATTTAGAACCTATTTACAAAAGTAAAACAAACAACAAACAGAAATATCTCAGTAATCTCAGAACACTACAACACAGGGTGGAAGGAGCTTAAAGAAGAGGAAAAGCAACATCAAACTAATGGAGGAGTACGGGTGGCTGCAAAGCAACATTTCCTCTAGGTGGCTGTTTGTAAATAAGAACTGACTATCTACAAGTTCTCCACATACCTTGCTCTGTGGCATCAGAGTTATTAGGATTTCCATGAAAATGAAACAACATGTATTTTAGACATGGCCTACAGTTTGCTCTTAAAATTAATTTTTTAAGAATGTTATAATGAGTTTTGGTGTTTGAGCTGTTTGTGTCAACTCTTCAGCCAAGTTCAAAAGTTCAGAAATGATTCATACAGGGTGGCCTCCAGAACCCAGAATATATTGTTGTTTTACTGTACCGCATTCTTGCGTGCGGGCTGGCTTGCCTACCGCCCCTCACCACGGTGCCTTAGGGCCCCTGCGAGAAAGCAATGCGTCCACACGCCTACATGCAGTACTGAGTATAACTAAATTGTGCTCTGGGGTCTGCTTGTGGGCCACCCTCTAAAAACACATGTAGCGCTTTATGTTGAATTAATGTTATTACATCTAAAGTGAATGTTATTGCATCTAAAGTGAATGTTATTACATCTAAAGTGAATGTTATTACATCTGAAGTGACTTTTAAAATGACCATCAAGTCATGGCATTAAATACACTTCAAAAACAAATTTGAAAACAGTCTAGTGCTTAGCTCTTACCATCCATTTCACTGTTGACAAATGCATAGTGAAACCATTCCTGAAGTGTCTTGAACTGAGGAGGGAAGAGAATGTTCCTGGACATGCGACAGACTGTTGCCATACTGTGGTGTTGAGCATGTGCAGCTTGTTCTGCTGTCATTCCTAGACTGCATGTTAATGTCTGCACGACATGAACATCTAAGTGGTCAACAGCTGCAAGTGAAAGCATATTTAGTTGTCCTTCTTCATTCTATGTATCAATTTTTCAGCCAAACAGAAGAATAAAAAAGCTCACTTTCTCCTGATGGAACTTCTTGTGCTTCTGTAGCAAATGAGATGCATGGCTCCTTCAGTGAGAATAGGGCCCAGCTCTTAGACTTAAAATTAATGCCATGGAAACATGCTAAGGATATATGACGCCCATGCAGTTCCATTGTACCACCGAGAACAGAACCGGACTGAGGTAGAGGAATGCGAAGGGTGGGCAATTGCAGGCCAGCTACATGAGCTAATGCACCCTGCCAATGGCGATGATGTCTAGCATCTTGAATGGACCATGGGCCACTGCTTCCGGAACCTGCCAGGCAAGATTCAAATGAGATTCATCCAGAGTTAATTTTTTTGAAAAGAAAGACATGCTTCTCTTTTGCTGACACTTACTGTCCGTAGATATTTTTTTCTGACGTGGTTGTGTGTGTCCTGATTGCTTCTTTCTGAATGAGGATGAGCGTGCACGAGGTTGAAATGAGGAAAACACGCGCTTGCTACTCTTAAATTGCTGACTGAAAAACTCCTCAAGTTTATAATACATCTTAAGGAGATCGGCTGTTGTTGACTTAGAAATCATCACTTGCAACTGATCCCAACCCATATCACCATGCATGAATATCATTGCTGGCCTGAATGAAGCAAAGAGGAAAATTAAAAGCATGATATTTTAAGGAGAAAACCATAAGGCCCAAGAGAATTGACAAGTACCTTCTTGTTGGATTTGCAGCATCCTCTGAATGCTTTTTACTAATTTTCCATTCATCCCTTAAGGAAATGTCTAATGCACTAACACGACTCATTAAAACACCAGTGCCCATATAATCAAGACGAAGTTCAAGGGCAAATAACTTAAGTCCCACTTTATGATCAGGTTCAGTCCCAGGATCCTCACGGATGTGAACTGGAAAGGAAGGAGGAATTTTAGCAGGTATTAATGACAGTTGTAAGCTTTCAATTTTAAAAATAGATGTGAAATATATGAATACGCACTGTAGGTATCAATTTTACTGAGTTCTATTGTACCACCAACAATACCCCCTTTTGCATCAAGACTAGAACCTCCCAAACCAACACCTATAAACATATTTTTGTGACCAGTACTACCAATTGAAAGGCGGCCTTCTGATTTGAAATCTTTAGTTAACCACCTAGAGTAAAAAAAACAAAAGAAAAAGAAAGGAAAATAATTAACAAGCTACTATTGACTTTACAAAACAAGTTATTGACCAAATGTTGGTTCTTACGTAACATTCCCCATGACATTGCCCATATTCATATGAACATTCAATTTTGTGAAATTGATTGCAAAGAGAACTAGTGTTTCCCATGCTGTGCCTGACTTTCCTTCTAGACTCCATCTCTTTGTATCTGTAAGAAAGTAAAAAATTAAAATCAAGGTAGTGCAAAACAATGAATCACATCTTAGATGTTACTTTAACTAACCAGAAAAGGGAGAATACTGATTAGCAGAAGTGTCCAGATTAAGTCTCAACTTATCTCTGCTTTTTGGGCTGAAATTTTAAAATAAATGAATCAAGGTATAGAAGGAGATAAGATTGTATGACATAATCAAACAAAGACCTGTAATTCGTGTAAATAATATGCCACAATTATTTCAAAAACTTACCCGAGGGTTGTATTATTAACTTGATAAGAAGTATCTCCATCAAAACTCCCACTTGGGGAATCATCTCCATCGCTAAAGGCAGCACCCATGCTCAAATCACCCAGGAATAGACGACGAACAATGCTTCGCCTGTACCATGCTTTTGGGAATGCTAATATCTCAGTTAATCTTCTCATGTCATATTTGAATGAGGCTGAACCAATATCAATGATCGCTAGAAAAGTAAATCAAGGAAGTTGAGTAAGTTCCTAATAGATAAATTTTGAACCTTTGAAAACCAGTCCTTAAAACTCACATGAAAAGCGGATACAAGCTTGACTTTGATCTCTTCCTCCTTTCGGTGGATCAACACCAAAATTCAGTTTTCTGCTACGTGAAAGGTGAACTTTTACAAACTCCACATTAATGCTTAATGAATCTTTGCGTTCACTGTCAGCTAGTGGAGACCACTGAGCCTCTTTAGAAGCTGCTGCAAAGTACAGAAAACAAAAATACTTCAGATTTTAAGAAATACAAAACAATCTACATTGTGATGAGTAAATCTTACCTGTCTTTTTGCCACCATAAGGATGGAATATATAAACAGAGAAATCAGCCAAGCAGCCTGTTACACTCAAACCTCCCACAGCTGATGGAGCAGAGGACATTTTGGATGGACCATCACCAAATTCACTGTGATCAAACGATTGTTTACCCCCCAAAGGTGTTAGAGTGTGGTTAGAACAGGGTAAGCCTAATATGGACCCTTTATGGATTTTAACGATAAATTAGTAAGTCAGGCTTACCTCTGTAGTTCCTCCTCAGCTCTTTTAGATGAAAACACAATGTCTAAGGATGGTAACTGCAACATGCACTCAACACGAGAAACGGGCAGACATGAAAACCGAAATGTAGACGGTTGCATGTGAAAGTATACTATCACATCCACAGGGAATGAGGAATACACATAGCCTGTCCCAGCACCCGATCCCCACAGTGGAGCAGAATCAGATGGATTATCCATAGAGAACATGGCATTCATTGATCCTATAAAATAATTTTTTTAAGTGAGGAAAACATTTGGTACAAAATTAAATTATAAAATCAAAATTGACTTGAGGTAATATCATTTTAAGCTTTCCTGTGATATCTGATACACAAACTTACCTGGATTTGATAGTGTGGATTTTGGAAGAAGAGAAGGAATTGGCTCCAAAGTTTGCTCCAAAAATTCAAGAATATGGGGGCTTATTATTGTTTCTTCTGGAATACTCTGAAGAGTCATCCACGCAAATAAGCTTGCCTTCTTGGTGCTTGACCGGCGAGCGGCAGAAGGTAGGCCGAGACCACCGGGAAGTGGTACACCCAAAGGATTGTAAGTGTGATCGGTGGAAGAGCGAGGGGAAATATTTTCTTCATTTAATGTTTTGGATTCATAATGAACCTGTTTGCAAAGTAACCATAAAGTTTTAAAGATAAGATAATAATGGAAAATACAGGTGACTTAAAATGAACTCAACACACCTTCACATCAAGACCAGGTATATGGAAAACTGTTAGATCCACCAGCTGAGCCACTGAACTAGGTGTACCAGTATTAAGATAGCGAAGGCGAGTGGTTGATGTACCTCCCTTGGTTTCCTTGGTTGCTCTCCGACTCATATTAGGGCTTGGAGGTGGAAACTCTAGCATTCCTCCAGAGCAACTTCTTTCCTTTTTCATTCTACTTGACCTGGATGTAGGCAATATAGAATATTAAGGTGTTGCGGTAAATTCATTGATTAGGGGGGAAAACGAGGAAAGTGTGTGTACACTTACAGTTTTACTTCATCTTCCTTAGCATCTTTGCTTGCATCCTTTGTGTGCAAGACACATTTTCCACTGTTAATAAGAACTTTCACGTCTAATTCAAAGTCAATATTTGGCTCCTGTGGTTTCTGCATTGCTGTCATGTAGGGACTCATAGGACTTGATGCCCCCCCTGGTTCTGCACGTGGGTTTGGCTCAAGGAGGGGTGCACTGTTAAAGCACAGTTTATGGGTAAAAACTTAAATTATGCAAAAGGCACACCAATAAAAAAACAATACAAAAGGTACAGACCATCCATCTATTGAATCTTGACTCTGACTGGGCGTAGCCAATGTATTCGGCTTTCTCCGCAATTCCACCCTCTCACCATCTACATCTATGTGGGAGGATCCTGGGGTCCAGTCTAGACTTAAATCAGAACTAGCACTAGGCAAAGACGATTGCCTGAAATTATTAGATTTTAAGTTAGAAAATAAACAGTTGAAGTAATAAAGTATGCATAAATACTAAACAGCATTAAACAAATTATTTACAAAATTCAAAATAATTATTTTACACACAAACCTGCAAATAGTATGAGAATCACTAAAAGTTACTTTTGGAGCAGTCATGCCTCTCATACGCAACGATGCAGAGCGAGACGGTCCAGACCCAGGGGACTCTCCACACACACTCTTTTCCTCCGGGCTAAGTAAGGCAATAAACATGCAATTAGTTCACACATCAACAAAAATGTTAATATTTTCAGTTGTGTTAGCAATTAGTCATTTCTGCAACTGTAGCACCCATTAGTAAAAATCAACAAAAAGAGAAAGATTAGGTTATTGAGAAGTTTACATCGCACATCGCCTTCAGTTAGTGCTCAGTTGGTTAAGTGATCAAGGCATTGGTTTATATAATTAATTGCCCACAATTTACGTCTACCTGCAGCGGCACGGCTGACAGAAACCTATGCCTTGTCCTTCTGTTGATGAGCTTCTACACACTGAAACGTGCAAGAGCATTGGATTGATTTTTCCCTTAACCCCTCCTACATTGCAACCCACTCTGAAATTAAAATATGAAACCTTGAGAATTTTATTCAAGATATAATTCAGGTATTATTTCATACTTATTTGATCCCCCCAACAAGTTGGAAGGGAATCCTTTAACCACACTTAACTGTAAAATATTTTTTCAGTAAATTGCATGATAGGTGTGTACAAATAGTGCGTTACATTACCTTTCAGCTTCATTTTGTTCAGCCATAGGAGAAGGAACTACAAAAGACCGGGAGCGATAGGTAGATGTCTTTGATCCAAGCCCAAATTTGCCCTTTATTGAAGAAGCTTTTACACTTTGCCTTCTGAGCTTTTGTATCATATCCCTGCAAGATAATGACCATTTTAGATATTCTGTTGTCTTTAATATAAACAGAACTAATAAACTGTACTACATACTAAACCAGCCCACCTTCTAAAGTCCTTAAACACCATAGCTTCTAATTCTTGGAGTCTCTTCATTTCTTGTTCAATGGTTCCATGGGAAGCACCAAGGGAACGAAGATCTGATATAATTTTAGCCTGTTCGTTCATTTCTTTCTCAATCAACTTTGAGCGTTCCTTTGCATCCAATGAAGGATCAAAGACAAATGCTGGCAAGTTGTCCATCATATTTCGTGATTTTCTTACACTGAGAGTTTCCTATACAAAAAGAAATAGGAGTCAGTATTATATTAATTTTAAAGAACAGTTGGGTGGAAATCATTTTGATACACATACAGCACGGCTAGGAATTTCTGAGGCACGCTGCCCATCAGTATGGTCTGTTTCGTCAGAGTCAGATTCTACAGTTGCAGTGTCATCATCCTGCTCAGTTCCAGTCAGCATGGTTAGGGTATGACCTAAAGCAGACAACTGTTTCCCAACATTGACATCAACATGAATGTCTACACCCTCCATTTGCCACCCAACATTTAATATCCACTTCGCATTTTCTGGAGGAAATTAAAATAATAATTAATTAAATAAATTTAGAAACAACGAACAAGCAAGATATCCTTCACACAGCAAGCATACTAACCTCCCCCTTGTTTTTGAGCAATAGTGCGACTGCACACTTCATATGTTCCATCTGAGACCACACAAAGATTCATGAGGTTTGTATCATTCATGTCAGGTTTCCAGTCATCCCAGGAAATCTCAAAATCATCTGTGAAGCGTAAGCAAAGGCCAACAAAGCGGCCTTTACTGACAAGAGAACCACTACTGCACGCAGAAATGCTTGTGTTTTCAAGGGTTACAACGACAGCTCCACCAGTTTCTGTATCAGCAAACATCTTACGGCGGCTCAGGCCCCAAGATGCCTAGAAAAATACAAATGGAGTGTAAGAACATGATAAATTATGTGTCTAATTAAAATTAAATCGGTCTAGTTCTTACCAGTGGTAATGGATTGAGAGGGACACAAATGCCCATGTCTTCCACTGTCAGCTGAAGGAATAGAGTTCCCAAATGTGGAGTTGTCATCTGATTTGTAAGTTGATTTAGAGCCATCTTGTCAAATACTTGCTGAGTGGCTGTCAACACTTCTTTGGTCAGATTGGAGCGCTGTTCATTCCAATATTCATATGCGTTTTTGTAATTCAGCCAAACTAGTATGGCCTTATCTACAGCCATGGGTTGAATATAAATTAATGGTCTCTTAAGGGTTATCAGCACAACTTCCTTGTCTGCTATGTCTCCTTGAGATGTGGTAGTTTCATCTTGAAAGGCATTTCGCAATCCTGTAACAGATTTTGATTGAGTCATTGAATGCAATTAGACAGGGCATCAGATGATAGGATAAACAGTAACAAAGAAGCAAAAAATGGCTTACCAATAGTTGTCTTGAAGAATGCATACTGCTGAAATTCAATGTCAGCTTCATCAAAGACAGTGTTTCGCAGCAGTTGTCCAAGGCTTAAATTGATATCCACCGTAGCTTTACCAAACATTTTCCCAGCAGTTTGACCACCAGATACATTTTGAACTCGATTAGAGAGTTGAAATTCGACCATTCCTGTCTCTAAGCGGACAGCCGAGCTTGTGGGTGTTGTCGCTGTCAATTGTATTCTCTGTAAAATAAAAACACGATATTACGGGACTCTTGAAATGTAATTTTTTAGTCATATATGTAATTCAGTGATCACTCTCACCTTAATACGAATTGCCAAGGAAAACAAAATGCGATCAATGGCTGAGCTAGATGTTTCTTCACCTTCCAGCCAAATAGGCACAGGCTTTTCTCCTCCATACACTTTCTGAACAACTTCATTAACTTCTTTCATAAATACTTTTTGAACAAACACCAAAGTGTTTAAGAGGTCCGTAGTTAGTGTGTTCTCAAACTCTCCAATATCAGCAACAGCACTCAAATATGCACCTTGTCGAAGAACAACCCCATCTACACAAAAACACAGAAGTATGTGGGTTTGGTTAAAGGAAAAAAAATTAAACATAGAATAAAAAGAAAATAATAATTTGAATAGTTACCAGCAAAATTAGATTCATTAGGATTCTTGTTGTCAGTTATGTATTCAGCAGCTACATGAACATGCGGAAGTGGGATGTTGGCTTCAGGAGGAAGATTAGCCTCAGCAACCTAATGAATAACGATTGGGTAAGAAAACATAGCCACTTATAAAACACCTGATTATTGATTTACAATGTTTTACTGACTTGCAGCTTTGTGGTAAAGGAAAGAGAGTGTTGAGCCAAGTCAATAGTGAATTTAGCTTTGCTTCCCGTAACACCAGCACTCATAACTTGATCCATTTTGTACTGAGCTTGCAAAGAGGGCAGGAGAGCTGCAGTAATGCTTAAACTCTGAAACACATTTCAACCAAAAAAGTTGGGAAAATTTATAAAACATGCTTGATTAATGGGGAACAGACAGATGTATGCCTGGAAAGCAAATTTACTGGGAATAAAGTAAGTGCTTAACAGATCAGATCAGATCAGATATGTAAACATATAGTGAAAGTCTTTCAGTAAATTAATATACAGTTAATATCTTTCAAGAATAACAACACTGATACACAGAGGCATTGAGTAAGGCACACATACCTACAAACAACATAAACTGAAGTAATGAATATATTACCTCATTCACAAGCACACCACCAATGCCTGCAAAATTTACTAACAATTTCTATACAGGAAAAAAAAGCCAAGAATTAACACATACAAGTGTTTATCATGAACAAAAGCCTTGCAATAGTGCTCTGGACAACAAATATCTACAGTTTAACTTCCATTTTGAAGCTGCGGTTTGCAGTGAATACACATTCCAGAGAGATCACCTTGCCGGCTGCCTGAAGCCGCTGTTTAGCTTGAGGAGACAGCACCGTTAACACTGGCAGAAGCTCAGCAGTCAGAGTCAGCTTCTAATACGCAAGAAATAACAGGGACGACAGAGGCTAAGCAATATCAAAGTTCTTCAATATCTTCCCTAAACATTCTAAAAAACTTGAATCTTGAAAACTTCTTATTTTTTTAAGAAACCAATAAGGTTTTACCAGAAAGTTTAATTAAGGCTTTACATTATTTTATAGCTTTGGAAAAAAAATTACCTGAAGGACCACAGAGAACTGCATAACAAGAGGCTGTAGAAGATTGGACTCTGGTTGAGGTCTTGCAGAGGGTGGGTGAACTCCACTAGGGGTTGCTTGAGCCTCAGAAGGATAGGGAGACTGTTGTGGAGCCTGGATCTCACTTTCCTCTGGAGCAGTTCCTCTACTAACACGACTAGTAGCACGAGATACTCGCAATTCCTGGAAAATGGTTAATAAGTTTCAGTTCCGAATCAGTAACTATATTACAAATATGAACTAAATTTGCAAGACCAACCTGCAAAGTCGATGACAGTTGTTTGCTACCTCGAGTCATCATACCATGCAGTGCTACAGGATGCTGAGGAATGTCAATATTAACAGCCCCAACTGTTAATAGACCTGAATTTTTATCTTTGGAGCGTTTTGTCATACTTGAGTACAACATTTGAGACTTTCCAACTGTCACTTTGACAACAGTTCTAAAAAAAAAATGTGTAAAATTTATTTCATGAACTGTTATTAAAGTCTAATAAGTTGTAAAGGATGCACAATATACGTACTGTTGATTAGGAGCAACTCCTTCCAGCAAGACAATCATTGTACGCCCCACTTGTCCACTGAGAGAACACTCTAGGCTTGCTGGTCGTGTTTTCTTCCTACAACTGAAACTTGAATGAAGACTAGTAATTTCTGCCTCCAGTTTTAGTCCACTTAATGTTGCAAGTAATCTTGTCCGATGGATACGAGCAACACCAAACACTATGAGTCGTGTTCTCTCCCCAGTCAATACACCTGGGGAACAAGGTAAGGAAATGGATGAAGCTCTAAAAGATTTGTTGTGAGATAGTTTACAACACTTATTGATTTACACATACTAAGCTCTCTTGGTTTATCTTGAATGACAGGTGTAGAAGCTGTCATATTGTCACCAACTGTGCTTCCCTTCTCAACATCATCTGTACCTTCAAACTTATCATATCTATCATATTTTCGCGCACTTCCATCAGGATTTCCAACAACAGACAACCTAAATATCACAACAGTTACGAGGCTGGTTAATAGAATATTCCTTACATTACAGCACTTAAATAAGTATCTATGATTATTTTACTCACCGATGAGGAATAGTTTTGGTTTCAGGCATAGTGGCATAAAGATCGAGAAGATAGTAAACAGTTTTCCAGCATCGAGGTGTTGCATTATTTGGGTCAATAAGTTTAGCTGCAACAATACTTTCCAGAGCAGACCCTGAGGGACTGAGGCATTCTACTCCTTCAGAAAGGTTCATATACCCTGAAAAAAAGGGTTCGGAACTTCTTTTAAACATGCATGGAATAAACCATTAAAAAATATTTTCGAACGAGTCAGAAACAAACAAACAGTACATATGCAAGATATTGTACCTTTAACGCTTTTGCTGGTAGATCGTAGCTTTTGAGCTAAGCTCTGATGGCGTAGAGTAGATCGAACACTTGCTGATTGCATACTGGCAGATCTAACTGATGAGCGAATACTACCTGCTGGGGATGTGACTTTAACTTGACTGTGTGAACGAGGGAAAAGGCTACTTTGACCACCCATGTATGAGGGAGCAGCCACAGCAGAATCTGTAACAACTTCAAAGTGATTTTGAAGGGGTTGTTAGAGCACACAACTTATGACCACGTAAAATTTATGAGAATCTAAGCAGAAAAAAGAGCTCACAGTGAGACCGGCCAGCACCTATGGTGCCAGAATGGTTAGAGGCTAACGGAGCCCCAGATGTTGATGGTTGAGAGTCTCGTTTTGTGGTTTCTGGTTGTTGTTCCCTTAGCTCCATTTGGGTTTCTTTTACATTCTGATACATATTACTTATTTGATGCAACAAACGTAAGAGTGGCATATTAACCTGAGAGTAAACAATAAAATGTTGTATGATATAAGAAAACACACTTAAATAATATATCAGTATTATGAAAAGATCTATTTCATCACCTGCTGTGAAATGTAGCGAATATTCAGATTTATATTGACCGTTGTGCTTGTGTGTTTCTTTAGTTGACCACGACTTATGTACAAAACATTCTGCCTCTGCACCAAGTCATCAACAGTCATGTCAGCAACTTTCCTCAAATCCAGTTCAACAGCTACTTTTTCACATAAAAAGGCAGGTGTGTCTGTGGGTATGTCCAAAAATATCTTGGAACCTGTGTAAACAATAATTTGTGAGTAACATGTAAGTTACTAAAACACAGTACATTAGTTTTTATATTGAAAGTTACATACCTTGGCTTTTGGTTGTTTTTGTGTTAGCTGTTGATTTGTTACGTTTCTTTTCGGCAGGCTTTCCAGCTTCACTTACAACAATATCAATCCTCATAGTATCCATACTACCAACAAGAGTCAAATTTGAGCCCCACGATTCAAAAGCTGATGACTCATTGTTGGCAGTTCCTATAATTAAATTGAATTAAAATGTACTGCATTTCTGCCATGTGGCACAATAGGAAATCATAGTAATATTTCTAATACTTCCATACCTGCATTATTGACCATTTGTTGAGGTACAACACCAAGGCTTGACAGCAGAGGTTCAAATATGAGATGTGCATCCAGCAGTCTCAGAGAATCGTGAATAGGATATAAACTGTAACCAGCAGCAACTGCCGCAGCAGTAGCATCACAAGGCTGTTCAATGGTCTCTTCAGTAGTCATGGTGTTAATCTTAGACTCCTGCAATGTAGAAATTACATAATTTGATGAAGATTAACTTAAAAATACTATAGGATACTGCTGAAATTAACCAACATACCCAATCGGAAGCTTGATGAGTCTGTTCACTGCCCTTCATAAAGACCTGCTGCTTAGTCATCCAGCTATATAAGTCTTCATTGGGTTCATAGTTAGTTGGTGGGGCAGGAGGGGACAAATTTGAATTGTGGTATTCTTGGCTGGCTAAGGAGTGGTTGCTTCCATGGGCTCCACCTGAATAAATACTGGGATTTGATCCAAGCATGTGTGCAATTGGTGAACGTTGCTGATCCTCTTTCAGAGCACCATAGCCCACACCCTTATCAGCATCGCTTTTGCGATGACCTACATGGCTAGTAAGCAAGGGGAACACTATGCTGGCTCTACATGATGATGGTGCCTGGGACGGAGCTAAGCCCTTCTTCTTTCCCTTCTTTTTCCTGGCATCATGAGGAGAGGACTGTGTAGTTGCTCCATCTCCGTCATCTGCACGGGGAGTCAGTGTTGGTGATGTCAATGTATTAGAGGCATGAACATGCTGGGCTGTTTCAATGAGCATGGCACATTCATCCGTTACAGAAAGTTCACCATCGGTCAGTATGTTTTCATCATCTTGCAGATCTGGGACAGCAAAAGTGACATTAAGTGGTTTGATGTGTTTACTTTTAAAATTGTGTTCCAGTAACAGTGGAGTATATAGTACATTCTTCCATTGACGACTAAGAACAATAACTCCTTGGCGAAGAGTTGATAAATGAGGTAAGTCACTCTCCCGTAAATTAGCTTCAATGCTAGCCATATCTGTTTGGAGCACATATTTAAGGAGGACATTACAAAGCTGGCAGGATGGATCTTCCACTAAGGTCTTTGCCATTGGGGTCAAACGTCCATAGCGACTTTTCACTGGCATATGAATACTTTGGACATCAAGTGCTTCAGCCATGAGACTGGACACAATAGCAGTAGCTCTTCGATACTTAGAGCGGAACATATGCACGACTCTAATAGCCAGACGATTACTTGGATTCATCCATGCATTGATAGCGGGAGATGCTGTGCTAAGCAAATTCCAATCAAGTCGAGTAAAGTCAATTTTTCTTGTTATTGGGGTTCTTGGCGGTGCTGCAAAGTTAAACCAAACCTTATGCAGTTCAATAACACATGAAGAAGTATTTGCATGATTGCAACTTCGTGCTGGAAGGAGCTGGGCATTGCCAGCACTACTGGTTGCTGTGCTGGCAGCTGCATCAACATCTGCATATGGAGGCTGAGGTCCGGAAGCAGCACTTCCAGTGCTTCCCTCAGGAACAGAAGAAAGTGTTTGTTTTCCAGGTAGCTTAGTGCCTTTTGCCGAAGTTGTGTCGTCAGCATGTGAAAACCGAGGAGGGTTATTGTACTCGCCAGCAGCATCTAAGTCATCACGGGACCTGACAGAATCAGTGTAAGCTACTTCTACTTCACTGTCTTCTATCTCTCCCTCTTTCCTGTCCAATTGAGAGCGTTTAACAACCTTGATTGAAACTCCTTCAAGTCCGCATTCAAACATAATAAATCCTAAGCGTTCCTCAGCAACAGGCCCAGAAGCATTTTCCTTCTCCTGTGGGGATGGTTCTGAGTGTAGTCCTCTACTTGGAGACACAACACGTGCGCATGTAAACAACACACGAGAGCAGTGTTCGGGAATAGCAGTTATGACAGCATCTTTCAAAATAGAACTTTCATTGCGGAAGCGTCTTAACTGAGCATGGACCTTCCCCACATTCAAAGCAACAATGGTTTCCTCCAATTGCTTATCAGAGGTTTCAATGTACACTGGTTCAGCTCCAATTTTATTGCGAGCAACTCCCCTTCCCTGCATTTGCAAACCCTCCAAAAATGGGCGTAGACCTTTGTAACCACTAGTTGACTTCTTATTGGCAGGGAGAACAACTGGCCTGTTCAGTGTCTGAACAACCTCTCTTGTCTGCTTCCCAACATGGAACCTAACTGTAACTGTGTCCAAGCAAACAGCAAACAAAGAGACACACGTCAAATCTCGAAGATTATCAAGGGCAGCAAAGGAAATAATTTCTTCTACAAGTGAGGCTTGAAGCAAAGTAACATTGACCTACAATGTGAAAAAAAAGGCATTAGTTTAGAATAATATTGAGGACTACAGTCAAATGCCTTTCAAACAACTACTTTACCTTGGGAAAGTGAATAGTGCCCTGAGTTTGAGTGTAGATACACTCTTCATAGGAGTTAGTTGGTGGTGGAGCACTTATCTCTCGTTGAGCAGTACTGTGTTTGCTGCTAGCTTGTAGTTGAGAGAGATAGGACAAGGACTGGTCATGTTTCAGCACATTAGCAGCACAAACTGAACTAATGCATTCGTTGTGCAAATGGTTGAGAACAGTCAAAGGATGCAAAGATGCAAAGGTTGGAGTTAAGGCATCAATAAACCTAAAAATAAAATTAAAACGGGTTTTATTCTTTACATTAAAATTATGTCAGAGAGATCAGACAAACACAAGAAAATTCCTCATACCTCTGCAGACTTTCCAACACCAAAGGGCTCAGCATGATATCAACATCACCTTTAAACTTGACAATTACTGTAGTTCGAGTTCCCATCTCTGTGTGGAGAGCCAAAAGTTCCTCCTCACAATCTGAAAGTAAATTAGTAAGATTAAACAGTATGAAAATGAAATGGTAAGTAATATCTATGACATACCCTATAAAGGATAAAACTCACCGGTGTTGCTTTCACCACTTGTTTTGGTGCTCTGCATATTAGGACTGTCACCCCAGGAGTAGGGATGGGTTGGAGTCTTGCTTGATGGAGGTGGTGGGGTGCCATGAGAATCATTATTACGGCTTACCATTTTCAAAGAAGTGAAGCCCTCAGTCAAAAATTCAAAGTGAGGAACGTATCTCCCACCAATATATATTAATCGTCCTTCATGAGTTCGTTGAAGCATTGGAGCAGTTAATGCATCGCATCCACAAGGTAAGGAATTGTGTGACCAGTTCACACAACTCACCTAAAGCCAACAAAGAGATAATTCTATTAGTTCATCTTCAATTATTATTGTTAATCTTCTAATTTATAATTATTGTTGTTAAGATGTACCTGTGAAAGATGGTTCACATAGCTAGACATCAAGAGAGGAGAGTCTACTATAGGTTTGTTGACTTGCATATGGAGATTCACTAGTGCCAAATCATCCTGAGATGACACAGCTGATAGAAATGATGTACTAGAAACAGATGGTGAATCTGATGAATCTAAAAGATGACTTTCAATATGCTGTCCCTCAGCCTCTACACCATGTCCATTAACAATGCGTGGGCTGGGTGAACGTCTCTTTTCTTCCTCTCTGGCAACCACTCCCTGCAAAAATATTCCCATAAAACCAAGAAGGATCGATAAAGATTGGATAGATAGATAGATAGATAATTGTGATTTACAATATTGAAGCAAAACATACCAAGTCAAGAGAGCTCCGAGTGTCAACTGGGTCAGGAATAACAGGTGTAGTGCTGCTAGTTACAATCATACTTTGCTGGCTCCCATATGTTCTCCTGCAGTCAAAAATAAAAGCACTGCAACTTCTGAAATCTAATAAAGAAATTTGTCAAAATTTCTTTTTAATTGCTAACAAACCTCTGAACCCCATTTATTTCTTGCTTATGAAGAGTGGATCCTGAATGTTGTAATGAACTATTTCTACTGAATGCTGTGCTTCCACTAGCACCTCCAGCCAAACTACTTAGATCTTCATCAGCTGAATAAAAAAGCTCAGATGGATTTTCACTTCCCATTGAAAATGTACGTTGAACTTCTTGAAGCACTTCTTCAATAGAGTGGTTTGAATCTGAGGGGAGAGGTCCTAAGGGAGATTGTGCTGCCTGTACCTAAGACATAAAGACAATAAAATTTAAGTATGTATATTGCAATTCAAATAGGGCAGGGAAAAAATGAATTAATAACTATTTTTCACCTGGTTGTAGACAAGGTTACGAGTAGAATTGAAGTAATCAACAGCAAGCTTGGAATCAGACACACTGCACTTTGGAGTCAGTTCAGCTTCAGGTACACTCAATATTGATTTACTTCTTTCTGTGTGCAGTTTAGAATCAGAATCCAACTTTTGAGGAAGAAGATTAGAGACACCACTGTCTACAAGACGGGCATATGGCACATCACGGAGCAGCTGTGGAGTTTGGCCCCTAAAAACGAGATATAAGACCATGCATATATTTGTAAGATAAGATGTAAATTTGTATAGTGATAAGTATAAACATAAAAATGTTAAACGTACCTGTTGTTAGCTAATGATGTGTAAGAAAAGCGTCTGTTCATCGAGCGCTTATCCCCAACTGGACTGGGAGAAACAGGAGACGCAGTACTGACCATTGTGGGGCTCTCTCCAGGGTCCAATGAGACAACCTGAGAATCAGCAAATAATGACTGGGTGAGAAATTTACTTTGATATTCTGTTCATAAAGTAAATAAGAAGGGAATTAGTTATCACACCTTTGGAGGTACTCCATTGAAACAGGTTGGAGGGTTAGCTCCTCTACATGAGAATGTTGGGTCATAGAGCGTGACATCTTGTGACCCATATGGAGGGGTGTGGAAGACAAGAGAGCCTTCATGCAGTATACTCTGTCCATATCCATAATCTTTACTCCCCTCAAAAATCCTGAAAAGCAAATGAAATAGATCTTACATGCGATACATTGTCACAGTAATAACAATGAAATCTCAGTTATCACACCTGAAGGAAGCAGTGTTCACTCCATCAGTAGTATCTTGTCGACATGGCTTGAAAAAGCGTGGACCATTACGGTTGCTCCCAAAGAAAGCACATCCACCAATACAGCCACACTTGGCGGGGGATTTTCCATTTGCATTATTTTCAGTACCCCACAAAAACCATAGGCGCCTGGTGCGCTCATCATGGACCTTTAAATACCTACAAACAATTGAAGGCAAATTTAATCTTTACTATTCACAAAACTTTACTTAAATTTGAAAGAGGTGCTTACTTATGTTGCACAAGATGCAAACTATGCTGCAGAGATGGTAGAGCTATAGCAGCTTCTACTACTAGTGGCCCAAATGAAACAGCTCCAACTTCAAGCCACAACTCAGGGCAGCCTTCCAAACCTGAGCCTTTCCCATTGTTTCCATGCTGGCTGGCCTGTTGGCTGCGAGCGCTACCACTGCCCGTGGTGTTGGTGCTGCTGCCTGCAGGACCATTCAGATGACTGCCACTGGCTACAAATTGATGAAGCTCCACTGCAGGCAAAAGAGCTGTAACTCCAGATTTGATTCGATTTCCATGGAGATTACAGGTAGAAACACGAATAGGACTAGCCTGTAAACATTTTCAATAATGTCATTTAAAATTAAAAATACAGGCAAGGAGAGGTGAGGAAATTGGTTTTAACATATCATACCCAAAGTTCAATAGCTGTACTTTGTTCCAACAGGTATATATCTATTTCATCAATGGCAACTCTGGTCATTCTGTATTTTACTTGGTCACTGGTAGGGCATGAGTACCGCGTCTCAATATCTGACTCTGAACATAAAAGAGGGGGCAAACCATGCATGCATGGCTTAGGAGTCCGAGGAGGTCTCATGTTATTTTCAGAATCACATATCAACATTACAAAAGTTTCCAGTCCAGTAATGAGATGGTGCAACTAAAATAATTAAGAACAATTCATTAACAAATTAAACTTATAAAAGATGAATAATTTTTTAACATTCAGATCAATAAAGGGGTAAAGAAACACATACCTGAGGTGCTGTTAATTTTCCACTCAATTTTCCTAACTGAACTTCAACTAACCAGGAATATTCCAATGTATCTTCATCAAGAGACCGGCCTTCATCACTGAACATAGCATGATGTCGAACCTGCAAGTTTCAAACAGTTTTTGTAAGTAATTTATCAAAGGCCAATGATTTCCAAGACCAAAAAGGAAAAAGAAAAAAAGGAAATCTCAAACAACCACTTACTTGCAATGAAGACAACATCAAATGACCTTGATTCAAATGACCTTCTCTACCTGGGCGTAGCGCATGATCAGAACTTATGAGGAAGGAGGGAGAGACCAAGACTTGCAAAATGGTTTCCCTAAATGATTTTTTCATTTCAAATCCAAAACGTTCAACAAGAATGATGGGACATGGAGGATCCTTTTCCCCGCAGTTCTAAAAATGGTTTACATTAGTTTACTAGATAGATAATAATTTTTACCACTAACTCAAGTTTTTGAAGTGGAAATGAGAAATTCTTTACCTTTACAAGATGAGCTTGAATGTCATGCATGGTGACGGAAACAGTAACTTGCATAGGTCTGTATTCCCTACAGTCAGCATGTTTTCTTATTTGTATTTGAGGCTGTGAGGTAGTAGAGGCTCCAGCACTGGCTGAAGGGGCATTGCCCGTGGCCCCCGGAACTGGAGAGCTTGGAGCTGGGCTTTGGCTTTGCATCATATCAGTAAAACTCTGATCCTCTCCAAATATGTTTTCCTGAAATGGAAAGTGATTTTCAAGGCGTGTACAATGAGATGAATAAACAGCAGTGAAACAAGCAAACACAAACCTTCAAATGCATGAAATTACGTAGTAAAGAACCATACAGTAACATCACTGATGGACCAATTTCCAATTCCACTAACACTATATCTGCTGGCATTGTTGTAGGATCTAGCTTTTGAGAACTATCCTGAAGCTCCGCCCAAAAAGAGAAACACATCAGTATCTCAAAACATAATTGTAAATATTTTCAGGATCCACATCTATGAGTGGTAAACAAAGTATTCTCTCACCTGCTGCCATTGCATTTGAGATGTTTTTCGACCATGAGGTATTCTCATGGGAGATAACAAAATTTCTTCCTTCTCAGGTGTGGTGATATTAGCTTGAGGGGGTGGTCCCAAAGGTGGAGCTGGGTGATAAGTGTAGTGAATGCTCAAAGCAACAATTGGAACAGACCAACAATCAACCCAACCCGTGCTGAAATTGGTAATGTTTTTGAGTCACTTAATTTGCAGTTTTACTTGAGACGATTGAACTATGAAAATACCATTACCTGCGTTGACAAACATTTCTCCACCGCCTGACATGTTCACATTTTTGTCTTAAATTACCATCCCTCCCAAGAATTTTTGCATTTGAGTCCAAAGCCAAAAGAACATTTCTGTTACTGCTCACCTCGGGTAGGTAGAGGGTCAGATCAACACTTTCTCCCTGCAAAATAAGGATTTATTTTAAACTTGATAAAAATCCAACAAAAACCAACACTAAAAAATAAAAATAAAAACAGACCTGTATCCAAAAGCGTAAGGGAACTGTGGGTGGTAAGAAGTCCACAAATGGAAGGTCAAAGGACAGATCAAATAAATCCCCACAGAATGCAATATGAGCTGCAACATGAAAATTAATTGTGTATACATAACACCATAACAATTAATAAAACAATAGACTTAATGTACTCAAACACATTCTTACAGTTTTCTTGATTTTGAGATGAACAATCAATCCAGTTGTATTCATTACACAAGGTTATAAGCTCAAACTCCTTAAGAAGAAGAGATAATTTCCAAGTATATGGAATAAAATGCAGTAGATCTGGGCGAGCTTTGCTGGCCCAGTCATTGATCATATCTGCAAGTTAAAATAAGGTAATAAATAAAGAGTACGAAATAGCAATATTTCGTAGAAAGTGTTAGAAAAAGTAAGTCTACTCCTTACCTTGAAAAAAGCCTTTGTGTGCAAAAATTAGATTTACAGTTGCTTTGCAGCCTGTCAGGTTAAGTATCCATTCTTGATGATCATTCCATTTTAAAGGATAATGGCACTTAATACCAAATTCTAAAGTCTCACTTTCAACCAGACTGCGGTACTGCAAACTGGTTGAAGCCTCAAGATGCAGTAACTGGCCGTTTACTTTGGTTGTGTATCCATCTGGTTGTACTATCCAAGGTATTGTAACTTCTAGGTATGAACCCGGGCCAATATTGATATGTACAGCATTTGTTTCCTATTAAAAGATTGCAATAATAATCAAACTAAATAATTTTTAATAATGATAGTGGTTTACAAAGTGCATTGCTTTTACCTTGTTTTTTGAGAAAAGAATGTCAATGGTGGCTTCATTTAAAGTACTTAACCGTATGTCAAAGGACTGAACTTGTCGCTTTTCACCAGGCTTTAAAGGTTCGGTTACTTTCATAGATTGGTAGTCATTAGGGAAAAAGAATTTGAAAAGATTTTCCCTTTGTCGGTCAGCCCAAGGTCCATAGCTGAAGTCTGTTCCTTTCCCACACTATAAATTGACACAAAGCAAAAATTATGTTCATTGTTTAATTTTTTATAATTTTTCAATCTTCAATGACACTTTTTGAAGCACATGAGAAGAGGAATTACTGTATTACCTTTATGTCCATACCCCAAATAGGAGGTGCAGATTCCACAATGTCTCCATTAGCTAATCTCAACATTTCTGGTCTCTCAGGCACAACTCCTGGTTCATCCATATAATAATACAAGTCCATGTTATTTGAGGACAAAACAACAAAACCCTCCCCCATGTACCTTGGTGGATCATCCACCATGCCAGTGTACTTTGGGCTGGGTGCCAAGATTACCTGCAAACATTGCATCACTAGTCAGAGAGTTTTCAAACACAAGGAATAAAAAATAGGGTGAGTTTAGACTTACTTTGAAGTTTTCTGCTTTACATTTGGTGAAATGCATGAAATGGTCAAGTCTGGATGCAGCAGGCTTGGTTGAATAAACGAAATGGGCTTCTTCTACATTTACAGATAATGTGGTAGGAACAAGTCTATTTCCAAAGACTACTCTACCAGATGAGACATCAACCTTGATGACAGGTATTAAATCCCTCCAACTTTTCCCTAACATGGCACCAGGCTGAGGTCTTTGTTGTTGTGCAGTGGTGGCAGAGGCATCAGCATCATCTGAATTTTAAGTGGGCAACAAAATATATATTATAGGAGGAAAAAGGATTACAAAAGAAATATTTTTAGATACAAAACCATCACCTTTGAATGGACTCTCTCCAGGAAAAAGCTGTGATTCCAAACCAAAGACTTTTTCAAGTCTTGCATACATATGAGATCTGTTGTAGACATGAAGCTCAAAACCATTGAGCATCACAGATAATCTTGTGTCAGAGTGAGAGAGGTCTGGTAAAAAATTTAGAAGTTGATTGACCTCAGATAGTAAAGAAATTGCTGTATGTAATGAATTTATCTAATCATAGACTTACCTTCTGATACATCTTTTGGGACATAGGAACGCCACCATCTAAATATGAGATAACCATCTTGAACTCTAAGAGTATAGTCATAAGTAATATAAGAAACATCCCTGAACATTATTTTCCCTGACAGGACATTCCATGTAAATGATCCTGCACACAAAATACAAAGAAATTAAAAATTAACTAGTTAGATAAAACAAAATTAAAACCCCATAAAAAATGTGATAACTTACCAACTTTAAAATGCCCTTCTTGAATAAAAAAACGGTTCAATAAATAAGTAAGCAAATGACCAATAACTCTTGAACTATAATATGTTATATATATAACCCAAGCCATAGCAGATACAAGAGAGCAGAGAAGCCAGGCAAAATTGCTGTCCATTTTCAAATCTTTTAAATTAACATGACTGCTGTAATTCCACGGCGCAGCCATGGCGGGTTGTGTTGTTGGCCACGACAGTCCGGATTCTGACCCCAGAAGAGGGGACATAGTTAGAATGTTGTCCATTTTAACCTAGAGAACAGAAATCACAATTTATGAAGCGGTTAATCAGTGCACATTACGAATCTTAATTATTTGTGTATGTGACCCTACCCAACTGGAGTTTGCACCTACTACAGTATATAGATAAGCTAGATAATAGAATTCTTATCAATGTGATAAGACCCCAGGAGAGCCATTGTCATACCGCTCTGACAGGAAAACTAAACTTTGTTTCAGAAAGTAACTGCATTTTCAGAAACAAAATACCCATAGACACTAACATTCTATGAGGTTAAGTATTGAACAGTCCAATTGTCGGTACTTACGAACTTTTCTAGCAGCGTCTGTGGTGGAGAATTTTCTTCAGCATACCCTCTTTGCTACGAAAATCTATTTTTATTGCGTGAACACATTATCATCTACTAGGAGATGACAATTTTCTTTAAGTAGATACAAAAAATCAACAATTCATTTTGCCACTGTTTGTTATTCGCAGGCATCCTGAAATATCGAACTGTCTGGCAACTAATACGTCATCTATCTCAAAGGCTGCGTTATAGTCCTTACAAAATACGTGCGGAAAACCGCACGATTACAGAGGTAAGCCATGGCTGATTTTTTTGGTATAAAGGACAAAATAAAAGGTTAAAGGAAAGGTTGTTTTCAACATGACAGTAATTTATTTGACAGATTTTAATTTTCAATGTTGGCGCTTGTTTCCAAGCAGACAGCATTTTTTGGCAATGTGAATATGAAAAACACTTCGTGTTGTGGTTCAGAAAACATAAACATAAACGCGGCTAAAAAAACAACAATAGCTGATTGATGTCAATTTAGGCCAGTTCGGGATTAAGTTTTCAGCAACCAGAGGTGATGTTGGCTTAATACGAATCTGTTCAAAGTTCATATTCGTCTTTCCTAGCTTCTTTTTTTTCGCGATTGTAACTGAAATCGCAGAATTTCTACCCAAAATACTTGAAGACTTGTCTCACACATGGGCCTAATGAGCACTTGTTACACCCCCCTTTTCCAATTTAGCTTTTACCCTTTTTTTCCAGCAGACAATGGAGTTTTCATCATTCAAGCGGTTGGTTAGGTCAAAATCTGGCCTTCGAATAGTTCCTGCTAACGATGATATGAAGAGCCCCTTTCTGTTGAGTGAGCCACCATGGACACCAGATAGTGAGGTGAACTAGGCGTGGGAAATTTAAACGGTTCCACTAAAATCACTAAGACTGTGGCACTCGCCAAGGCGGGATCTTTTCATGAAAATTACTTTTATTTATCCCTTTCTTTTCCAGACAAATAACTGCACAGAGTGTAAATCAAAATTTGGATTCACACTTAGAAGAGTAAGCTAAGTTCTAGTTTAAAATGCTATAATTGTACTTCTAAACAAAATGATTCTTTTATTTCTCTTAACCCAGCATCATTGTCGTCGCTGTGGACTAATCTATTGTGGACAGTGCTGTGCAACAAGGCTTCCACTACCTCGAATGAGCTTTGTTGATCCAGTTCGAATGTGTGATCGATGTGCCGATCGAACATCCAATGAACAAGATTTCTTTGAACGACATTTAAAGATCTTGACCAGTGGTTAGAAACAATACCTCATCCTCATATAATGGGTGAAGCATGATATTTCAATAAAATTTATTGTTTTGCCTTCCAGGAGCTTCCTTTGTGCCAGACTCCTCTTATAGCAGGGCTGACTCACTACTGTGTAAACTGACTCCTGACCACAGGTAGCCCATATGTTTTTGATTTCTAAATAAATGAATTCTATCATTATTTTATCATCTTTTCCTGGAGGTTTTTTTTTTTTTTTTTTTTTTTTTTTACATATTATGCTTTTATTACAGATATCTTCTGTTTGAAGGAATGAGCCATGAACCAGTAGATCTTCTACTTATCAAGTCGTTTAGTGTTTCAAAGGATATGGAGATTTTAGGTATGCAATTTTTGAACTTGTCAGAATCCTCATTTAGAAATTATTTTTTTTAAAGGATAACAAACAGTTAAGTCAAGTCTAAAATTTGATTCCTAAAATTTTCGTGTTTATTTTAGAATGCAATGAGGATTATAATTCAGGTATGGACAGTGTGTTAGTGTGTTGTCTGCCGCAATCTTCTTTGATGTTTGTGTGGTTGTTTAAAAACTGTTAAGGATTTCACACTCATTTTTTTTCCTACTATCTCTCTTTCTTTCTGCTTACCTATCTATTTCTCTGTTTCTCTTTCTCTCGGTGACATGTTCAGTGGTGAGCAATCAACTATTCTCACAAACATGTATTCATATTTTCAGGTGGTAGCAGTATGGAACTGGTGTTTAGTGCTGCAGAAGGTGACCAGGAAAAGCACTTAAAACTTACCACTGGCCCTGACCCACTGCGAAAGGCAGGAAGTTCATGGATACTTGCTATGCAGCAGGTAACATACCATTCAGTTTTTCAATATGTTCTTTATCTATCTACAAACACGATTAACTCTAATTTTTTTTTTTTTTTTTTTTTTCCACAGGCTTTGAAACTCATCTATAGTATAGATAATAGCTGAGCCAATGAATCTTTGTTCATCAGTAACTGTTGTGTTAGATCACATTCATTCAATAATTATTTCAGAGTCCTTTTTCACATTTAAATACTTTTGGGCCATTCACATTGATCATATATTTACTGTCAAAGTACCTGATAATTACTCATTTTTGCTGATAAGTATAGTTTCATCGCAAGATTCTGATATAAATGTTTCCTTTAGCAATCAGTCTGATTTTTTGCTTTTTTGTTTTGTCGTACATTATTTTTATCCATATTTTATTTAATCTAAGTGAGATTGTTATTGTTGGTGTTCAGAGGTCCATAATATATGGCAGAGACTGGTCTTGCATGGCAGTGCCATATTTCTGTGTATTGCCTACAAAGGTGGGGGGAACTATAATTGATTAGGTAGTATCTATCTAAGTTTAATCTATGTTTAATCTCTCTTTCAAATTACATAGTGATATGAAATTCTACTCGTTTGAAATTATATTCTATGTCGTAGAGTACACATAATTTGAGCAATGATCTTTAAAAGTATCAGTGAAATTGTTGCTATTTTTGTTGAGTGATGTGCCATCATACAGACACTTTGTCATCTTAAATACATGCACAGTTAAAGTAATTGAGTTATTGTCACCTTTCTGCTATTTTATTATATTTGTTAGCTTTTATATCTATCTACTTGTTCTGTTGTCCACACTGTGCTTTTATTTGTTCTGTTTGGCAACTTGCTTTTTTGAGCATTTTGTCTTGAATGGATACCTACTTTGTATGTTTAATTTAATGTATGGATGGTTTGTATTGAAATTTCTGACATGAACAGTGAATCTCCCACTTGACTATGTGTCATTGTGGTCATGCCTTGATGTATATGTTATTTAAGAAGCATCTGAGTTGGATCAAAATGTTGCCTATGATAATTTTTGAAGTGTAATAAATCTTAGTCTGAGTTTCATTAACTAATCTTGATTATTTCCCGATACTCCATCGCCCATCACAACTGTACTGGTTCTTTCCTTTTTTGAAAAAGAAATTATTTGTTATCAATGACATGACTCCAATGTCAAATCATAGCCAAATTTACAGCCGAGTTATTGAAAGAAAAACTACATCTGTAGCACACTTTAGTTAAACACCTTATAGACTTTGACTTTCTTTTCGAGTTCTGTAAATCAATTCAAACATTGGCGCGTGGGACAAGATTTTCATACTTGGCTCAGTATCGTCTGCTAACCGTCCTTGGTTATGCCATAGGTTAGAATTCTCTTTGAAGTTGGGGAAGTTGGGGTTGAAATATTTTGAAAGAACTAGGCGAAAATATTCTCGCTCACCGAAGTCCTCTCCTCTGGGCTGTCATCAAACCGAACCTACATCATTTGCCTCATATTGCCCATTTGTCTCTCTATAAGTCTCGCAGATCAACGATTTGTGTCTGTCCAAACTGAGTGTTGTAGTTATGACATGTGACATGTACTTCCTTGCATAAATAGTAGAATTCTCTGCTTTTACCTACAACATATATTTTTCGCCATGGCTTCCATCAGAAATGGTTTGAAGGCTGCGTTCTCCTTTTCAAAAAAACATTTTTCTCATGAAATTACTAGGTAAATTTGATTTCCTAATTTCTTCAAGGGAATGGACATGTTATTAGTTTAACAAGTATATGATGGTCTCTGTGAAATTCAATGATTTACAAATATTCTTTTTCTATCAGAAAACACTCAAGGGGCCTTTATGGTGTCAGACACTACGGCAGTGGTGCCTACGATGGAGATGGTAAAACCCATACAGTTCTACTGAATGATGAGGGTGTCGGCCTCATGATAAATGCATATAGTACGGCAAGTATTTATTTCAAAAAATGTGGTTCTTTACTTCTTTTATTGCACGATTTAATCTGAAATCTTTTGTTTAGATTGGTTTTACCCTTAATAATGGTACCACAGTTATCGGACCCATGGCAATATTTCCAAACTGTATTTTGAGCTGGAATGTTGGAGGTATAATTGATATAAATGAAGAGTCCCTAAGTCTTATCCTTAATCTTTATCCTAAACCTGGTAAGAATTGAAAATAGGGCAAAGAAATTGTTTGTCAGGGATGTGTGATCATAATTTGACTTGTCTAACTCATGCTTTTTTCTTTAGATATTTTTATTTTAGGAATACCAGAAGTCAGTAAAAAGATGAACAAAGAGAAAGTTAACTCTCTTTTCCGACTGATTACAAAACGCAAGATACAGTGTGAAATCTTGATACCAGAAATAGCATGCCCAACATTCAACTTTTTGCTTGCTGAGCAACGTTTTGTGGGGGCAGGAATCTTACCGCCTCATAATCTTGGTGGTGAAGGAAGTGGAGATGTTGGATTTTCATCATTTAAATTGGCCTTACCTGACAAAAGGTAGCAAAGTTCTAAATTACTAATTTTATTCTTTAAATTGTTGCCAGTAAGCTAGGAAATTTTCTGTAGAAGATAAAAATAAATAATTCAGAAAAGTGCATTTTTGACAACTTTTAATGTACATTGTGTTGTGTTTAATACACCTTTTATTTACTTTTTCCCAATCAAACAAAGGTTAAATATTTACAACTGTCTACGTAACATAACTTTCTTTCTACCAAACTCATCAAGAAATTTTCCCATCACCATCAAAGTATTACTTATGAAGGAACCTATGTACTTATCCATCGATGCCATCAGAAGCAGAGCATCACAAACATTCTTAATAATAAACTATACAAAATTTCACTCAAACGTTACATAGAAACATTGCCTTAGTGCAATGTAGAAAGACTCTTGAGAGAAGTCCTAGAGCTCTCCTATTTTATTTTTTTCTTTTGTTCAGACTGCACATGATGTTGAACCTTTCCCAGTAGCAGAGAACTGTCACAAATTATTATCACATTGACATCAATTATTTGTCACAATATACGTTGTCACTGACGTGTTTTCTTCCATTGATATTGTCATATTGTTGTCAACATTAATGAAAGAAAACACATCACAGTGACAAATAATTGATGCCAATGCGGCAATTTTCTGCTACTGGGGTTAACAAAATAATCCACATTAAGGCCACCTCAAAGTCACATTATACCCAATGTGTTAACAAATTTGTTGCAGCATGATTTCCCTACTTAAAATAATGTCTGATCACATTGTGGTCAAATCTGCAACCGATGTATTATCACATTGAGTGAGACAGTACATTTTAACCAGGATGTGACCAGTATGTCTTATCACACTCAACATGTTAATAAGTCTCTAATGGTTCATCTTTTACATGGTTGTAATGTACATCGATAGGACCCTCATGACGGGCAAATGTTTGGCAGACATCAATGGATTCTTCCTCGTCATTCCTCAATGGTATGCGTTCAAATTTGTAAGTGTGTGATTGCCCCTTGCACTTTGCTTTGGCTAGAATTCCACGCTTGTAGTAGTACCTGGAAGCAATGTGTTCCATAATATTATTAATAATCTGTTGGACCAGTGTGAATGTGTTTCCAAATATACATGTTCCTCACCTCAATCCTCTTCCCATACTTTCATAAGTCATGTCTGGCTTATTTTTGTGTATTCCCCAAAGGGAAGCTACCATTTTGGGGTTTACCAGTTTGAAGATATTACTTTCGCGGTTTATCCACTTGATGTATCGTGGGCAAAACTCCGGGTTGTCGAGCAACTCAAGTAGAAATTTCCAGAGATGCTTTGTAGTACCTGAAACAGAAAGGTACTTCAGTACCTGGTCCCCGTATGCAAAGAAATTAAAATGTACATCTAACCTGATGTAGTTTTTGGTGTAAGTCTACCTATTTCTTGGTCCCAGCAGCAATCCTAAACATTAAAAATCTTCTGATAAAAGAAAAGGTTTTGAGGAGAATTAAATCACAGTTTTTCCTGGTATAGATTTATTTCACATCATGTAAAAGGCTCCATTTAAACTCCATATTTTGAGTATAACATACATTATAGAACATGTTTTACATATTTATTTTTACAAGAAACAGGCATTATTTTCCCCCCTTCCACTTCTAAATGCATGCTAACATATGTACATTTTTCACAACATAGGGTAAGAAAATATCACCATCTTTCATTGCCCATACTCTACTAATCTCGATGCTCTTACAAACCTTGGTTCACTCTGCCCTTGGGGCAAGACTCGCACTAAGTAGAATCAAAAACCTGCCTCATTTTAAGTAAATAAGGTACAACACTTAAAGATAAATTTGTCTTCAAAATATTTTGCATACTTCACATTTGAAAATATTACTTTATCCAAAATAATAAAATTTATCACTTTGCTCTTGACTTGGACGAAAGCTGCTGGACAAGACTGGCAATCCCAAAAATACATTTGAGGTCTTGAAACAATGATACAAAATAATGTGATGTAAGTGCGTTACTTGAATCAAGGCCAAGGCTTTCCTTCCACAGGAAATAAAAACTGAAAATAGTTGAGCCCGGCGCGAACCTTACCTCATCTTTCTCACTAATACACATCTGGCAGTCCGCCAACCGATATCATCACAGAAAGTTACAACTGGTTTAGTGATTTGTACAATCTACACAGAAACCTACATAGCGATCAAACAATGAAGGTGCTTTATAATATCTTATAAGATATAATTATGCTCCTCCTACTCTAAAGATGCATTTGGTGTCAGCTTATTGCAACACACACCAGATGAAGAAAATTTAGAAAAAGAATGGTACAGCAGACTACAAGAGAAAAATCCTGTCACAACCCATAGAATAGAAGTGTGAAAAATGTGGCAGTAACACTTTACATCAAATTGAATATATTATACAGCAGGGAAAAAGTAACACTGGACAAAAACAACTAGTGAGTGAACATGCAAGAGCTGTCACATCACATCTAAAACATGCACATCAATGAAACATCTACATGTTCAACATTAGAATAGTATTAAAGAATTGTGAAGAACTTTCACTCTGTTTAAAAATGACAAAAGTAAAAAAAAGGGAAAAGGAAAACACTATTGATTAAAGTTTGATGAAAACGAGTAATAATATTAATGAAGTATTGGTATTTGTACTGCCTTTTGTTAGCCATAGAACACTCAAAGTATTGAAAACCTAACAGCCAAGGTACACATCGCACAAGAACA